GATCCCCCCGACATCCTGTCTGTCCGACGAGGGATCCGAAAAGACTTTGACCTCTAAATAAATTATATGTCATCCTAAATCCCATCAAAACGTCAGAACGCCCCTGTCCAATAAGGACGCCCCTGTCAACATTGATCACATGATGTCACGGCGGAATGAACTGGTATTCTTGATCTGTAGGTGTGGCCTTGACCATGAAACTTTACCACGTTGCTGTATGAAAGAACAGTACGTACTTTCGTTGTAGGTTACCTCATTGAAGATCATGCAGGCGCATTTGTAATTTTCGAGAATAGTGAACCACCTGAAACATTCTGGAAGACATGCCTTATCTTCTGCAACAGCTGAAAAAACAATACGGTGGCATCCCTGTTCTGAACGTCATTCCTGCCGACCCTCCGCCACCCGACATATGGATTGCAGTTTTCAAGTTTCGCCTAGCATCATCTAAACAGAGGCCTCGTGGATCGCGACCCGATATTGCCGGCACAGGTGCGAGCCCTTCGAGAAACAGCGCGCTCGAGACGAGTCGCAGGTGTTCTGTTGCGAAAGGCCCCAGGAGACGACCTTGCCGTTCCATACCGCAGGGGTGGAACTCATGAAATGTGCTTGGGAGCAGCCACGGGAGCAGCTAAAACAGCTGTTTTGGAGCAGGTTGGGAGCAGCTAAAACTACACTCTGGAGCAGGCTAGGAGCAGCTCAGATCAGTTTTCATTGCACTCCAGCTTGTGTCTTAGACAAGCACGGGAGCAATTTCAGTTGTGCTTAGCAGCCCAGATAAACATGAGTGGTTAGGGACCTAGGCAGATGGGATAACAGTGTAACAGATGCGAAAACTTGGAACTTTGTGAGCCTTGATATTTTCTGAGTGGCTTTCAGCTGCTCAAAATGCAAACCAGCACCGCTTATCGCACAGTCCACACGTCCCCGACAGAGTGATTTTATGTGCGAACCACGTGACGTGCGTAAGCAACGGACGTGCAGTTGCGCGGAAGAACAGGGAAACAAATTTCGAGTTTCTCATATTGCGCAACTCAATATCGCAACAAAATTCGAGTTTATCCTATTGTGCAACTCAATATCGAAGCAGCAGACTACGATTAACGGAGTTATCGTATTCGAAGCGATAAGCCGGAGCAAGGTTAACGTATGCCGAGCAGATCTACCGCTCGCGTGAGAGCTGCTGGCCGGCAAGGTTTCGGATCGGACTGCGTTTCAGATCTATCAAATCACGATTTATCTTGCAGGAATGCAGTTCCAACTTCTAACGATGAAGTGCTCAAAGGAATCTTTTGCTCATTTGTTTTCAACTGACTGACTTCCGGATCCCGGGCTTCGGAGCCTCAGGCAATCTGACGCTTAACGACTCGACCTTACCTCGACCGACTTGTTTAACCGCTTATGGTTGAAGAATAACAATCCAGAGGCAGATGGTGTAGCGCTTGGAATCCGAACCCAGAGTTTTTTTTCGCACACTTCCTACTCGGGATACACAGGGAGAATAAAGAGAAAAAAAAGGATTGCAAGGCCGACCAAGCTAAATGCGATCATTGTTGCCAATCGAGTCGATAGAAACCGAAACCAAGACAAAATACAATTTTTTTGGCGCACGTTTTCCAATTTGGTGCATAATGGCGCGAGGTATTGACTGTGGCGCAGTTTCCGAAACATGGCGCAGGATGGCGCAGACAAATGCGTCTGGCGCAAAATGGCGCAAATGGCGCAGCCGTTCCACCCCTGATACCGACAGGCACGGGTGAACGCCCTGGAGCATCGTATCCAGGTGGCTAAGGTCAGCTGCGCCCGGAGACAGAGCGAGAGGCGCCCTGGAGTCGCCAACGCACCTTGGTTTGCGGGGACGACGTGACCTTCTCCGAAGGATCATCGGCTTGTCCCACGCCAGTGTCATCTAGCCGACTTTGCCGTCCGGCCCCTCTCCTTGCTTCTCCTGCCTGACCTCGACGCACGGCGACCCGACAGCCTTGGGATGTCCTCAACAAGGGAGGGGGCTTTATTCAATTTCCCCAGCTTAGATCGCCCATGGAATTATCCCCTAACACACGGAAGCCAGGACGCCTGCAATTATGAATGTCTTCCGCCTTCCTCGACTTTGATGGCACCATTGTCCGCCGACACTGACCGGCGACACCGCGGCCAAGGATGTCTGGCCCTTCCGTGTGTGTGTCGCGTGTGGCAGTGTGAGAGAGGGAGATGGCGTGCCTGGCTGTTACGAACAATGAACCCTGGGGATTTCCTACTAGGGATGTGGGCAAAAGTGAGGCTATAAAACCAGCAGCAAGCGGCTGCTACTGTGTGTTCTCCACAGTGTTCTCAAGTGTTCTTGAGTTGATGTAACCTGTTCATATGTACATATAGTTATATCATATAAGAGACAGCCCTCCTGCTCCCTGGTCCTTCGCGATTCCGGCCTCCACATGAGTTCCTGCCCTGGCTTGGTTGCCTGCCGTACCCAAAGTGCCCGGACAACTGCTCGATCCCAACAGTATGAAGTCTGGGTCGGCACAGTGAGGCCACGTCTGGCCTCCTTTCCGGGTTTCGCATCACCAGATCAGCAAGCCACGTTCACGTCGGCTGATGACACACGCTGGAGCCGTGCAATATTACGGGAGCAGCCGCAGATGCCTTCGAATGTGTGTTGAACTTCACTGCGTGAGTCTATTTCAAGTCAACCACCGCCACGCTCGTGCTGCAACGGACTGTGACTCAGCTTTGCCAGCTGGATGTACTGTGTACGCTAAGGCAAGAGAGGCGGTTAGCCATGGGCATTGGATGCCAGCAAACAATGACTCAAGAAATCACTACCTAAGGACCTGCGGCAGAAGATGCTCTCACTCGACTCCTGGCACGCCACCTGGTTCGAGTCCCCGACTACGCAACACTTCTCAAAAGAAAGAAGAGGACGCATAGAAAAATAGTTCGGAGAATCGGAGGGTGTCCAGTTACGTTCTTGTCATATCGCTCCGGAAGCCGTCGAGATTCGCACCGGGTGCCCCGGGTGCATCAAATGTCCGCGACCAGACACAGTTGTTACGTAAAAAACCTGGCACAGCCAGGTGATTACGTAATAGCTGTTCGCAGAAGCCCTCGGACGTTCAAATTCTGCGTTAGCCAGCAGATTTTTTTTCTCGGCTTTCGAACCATCTTACGTAAATTGTTTGAATAAATATGTACTGTTATCGTAAATCTTGGCTTGTGATCGCGGCTTTGTAGATTATCGTACTCGTTTTGCTGGAGACGCAAACGACGGGCATAACAAAATCGGTTGCATATTCCACATACCTTGCAAAAGCACTTCCCCAGTCACCTTGCGAAAAGTGTGAAACACGGAGTCCGCACAGTCCCGACTTCCCAGTCTTTTACCTGCTTTAGAGCAGTTTGTACCTGCTAGTAGGTATGTCTACTGAAACTTGAAACTAGGGGCAGTGCCAGAGAGCAAAGAGACAAAGTTCGGAAAGCTCGCTCGCCCTCCCCGATTTCTGAATTTTCAAGTGATTGTACCGTAATAAATGCACAACGCCTCTTCCCTCCCCTCCCCTCTCCCCTCCCCCCTCCCCCCCCCCCCAAAAAAAACACCATGTTCACAACGTAAAAAATGGTCTCAGTTCATGCATCTGTGGGCAGGTAGGAAATCTTGCCCAAATTTATTTACACTGCACGATGAGCGCAACACGTCGCAGTGCAAACGCAGTCAAACACGAAGCATAAAAACAGCAGATTTGGGACAACAATTTGGAGTTCATTGTTCAATTGAAACGACGTAATTTTGTTGAAAACGCCCGCAGCTTTTTACTCACGGTATGCGTCGGGAATTTTCCACATTTGGAAACGAAACTAAGGAAGATTTACTTTTAAAAACGCTCGCTGCGTTCTCCCGGACCAGTATGACTGGATCAGCTGATGACGACGGGACTGAACCTGTTTAACCTCAACCCCACAACAGCCAATTTGCGCTCCGTGTTAGGTGTCTACTTCCAAGCGCAACACCACACACACCACGAATGTTTCCGTTCTTTGTCGCATCGCAGTGTTGCACCAAACAGAACAAGATCGCCGAAGTCAACGCAGCGCTGTCGTGAATGTTGCCTTGTAGTTGCGCACTCGTGGACCCTGTGGCTCCCTTCGCTTTCAAAGCACGCACGACGATTACGAATGCTACTTTCCGTCTTCCGGGAACATCACAGGGGCACTTCTCCGGTCATGTCTTCGCTATGTGCTCGCAAACCCCGCAGCTTTTGTGTACCGAAACGATACCAGCGCCATGTTTAGCGTGCGTTGTTGCCTGATCTCACCGGAAGTCGAAACGCTGCGTCGTTCAACTCAGCAGCCAAGTCAACAAAAAAAAGAGCAAATCCAAGAGTGAGGGGCGGGGCATAGTTCTCCGCGGGGGTCGAAAGAGTGGGAGTTTCAAATGTGAAGATGTTCTGATTCTGACTAAATTACGTCCTGTGACGTAGATATTGCTAAAAAAAATATTTGTTTCGCGAAACATTTGTTTTGTGACATGGTTGTCCCAATTAGGCTGTTTAAAAAAACACTTTTTTTCTTTGCAGTTACCCTTTAAGAACCCCGAAAATGGAAGAAAAAGAACCACGATAACGGTATTTGGGTTGTTAGAAGTATAATGAGCTTGCCACCCGGAAAGAAAGCTTGCCATGTATCTTGAGATAGTCCCTAGTTAACCTGGGCTCAATCCCAAGAGAGAACTTTCCTTTCAAAATCCCATCTTGCGATTTGTATGCGAAAACCAATATCACAGAAACCTGGTCCCATAATGAGTTGGACAAGCCTACAGAACTTGAACCCCCCCCCCCCCCCCCCGTATTCACGAGCCTCAAAAACGACAAAATCGACAAGCTGAGAGACAGATGTCTCACCCCTCCCGGTGGTCTTTGACCGTATCGACGAGATGTCCGCAACATTGAAACTCGGAAGCGAAGCCTAAAGAAATGCAAGATGGCAGCTGTAAGCGAGGGCCATACCTTGGTCCGTCTTGGTGGCGGGCTTCCAGTTGTCCGGACTGATGATGGGCAGGCAGACCTGCCCCTTCTCATCGATGTTCGGGTGGTAGATCTTGGTACGGAACGTGATCTTGGGCGGCTTGAATGGGTACTCCGCCGGGAAGTTGATCTCTATCCGAAACGCACCCCTGTTGTACGGGACATTCTCCTGCGGGGGAGGAGAAAGACGGTCAAACTCCCATTTTCGCGAGACTACAGACTTTCAGACTCGGCCTCTACAAGCACCCGTTGCACCCAATTTCTTTAAGTAACGCGTTTTTTTGGTTCCGGACAGTTCAAGCATGGCAGAATCGAGTGCAGAACATGTGGCTATGATACAAACCCTTCCGTCCTTCTCAACAGTCTGTGTTACTTGAGACGAAGTGGCACCGCTTTATTTCAGGGATGAAGAGGGGTTTGTTGGCTGTCGCTCGAGTAGCGGGGTGCTGCCTGGAGCCGCAAGCTATGCTTAGAGTAGCAGCACTCCGTTAAGCAATTTTCTCGTGGTGCTTACAATTCGTTACGTTACAATTCGGAAACGAGCTTCAGATATAGTGTTTTCAGTTTATCTGCGATTTAAGATAAAGCTTCAGATGACTGGCAACATTAATTTTGAGCACCAGGATGGCCGAAGTAGTTTTACTCCGAAGCATTGCTTGTTTACTGGCGTTAGCATTGCCCCAGATCAATCCGAGGGAGTTGGGCCACATTCAAAACGGGAGGAAGAGGAAAGAATGTCTGACTGACAACGTTGCCAGTTTCTTTCCGGCGCAGACTCGACTGTTTATAGATCAGCGAAATAACTCCAGAGCATTGCTCCTTAGAATTCAGTGTCCCTGTGGAACCATTAAATGCCTTCAAGTGTACAATTGTCAACGAAACCTGTTTTACCGTCCTCTGCACAGACACATTTTGTTGCTCATCGTTCCTTACATGTGCCCTCATCTCTGCATGTCTACAATGGCCAAACCAAAGCATGCTGTTTGCAAAACACTCACCTTGCTCAAGTTCTCCCACTTCACACTCTACATTTAGTTAAAGGGCAACTCTGCTTCATTTTTGATATCTAGAAAACTATGTAGCCCTCTTCAGTATGATATAGGAAGACCCCATGTCAAATATTACGATCTAATTCTGACCATATATTTAATAAACTGGCCAGCAAACTTTCAAATCAGCCAAGTTGCCGAAATCTGCCAACTCCAGCGTGCGACGTGAGGCGCAATCATCAGCGAAGTCAATGCGACGGAGTTGGAGCGGCCAACGTTGAGCCACTACGTCAGAGGCATGACTACTTCATTCTCACGTTTTGTTTGTTTTTACTTCTCAGAGCAAAATTAAACGATGACGTCATGAGTTCCTCCTCCCAGTGTTGGCTGAACGGCATCCGCGTGATCACCGTAACGCGGTGCGCTAGTTTGCGCTGCCCTGCGCGTTTATCGGTCTGTTTCTCCGCTCCCCCTCTCCTCTTTCGTCTTCTCCCCCTCCCCCTCTCCCCCGGGCCATCACTGTCCACGCCATGCGAAGCGACCTGCCCACGTCGCGTGTCCGGTCCCTTGCCCCCACGAACGTCACAAGACCACGTGGTTTGACGTGACGTGGCCATGACTCTGACGGCAGGAGACCAATGTTGCCTGACGCAACCGAAGTTTTGGCTTCGGTATCAGCTGATGTTTAAATTAAGATTACACAAATAATATTCCACATTTCGCGAATCCGAGGACGTAGAGCTGTTTAGTAGTGCTTTGTGAGATGGAATCACGTGTAAGCCTAAATTTTTCGGAATTGAGCGGAGTTGCCCTTTAAATAATCTGTACACTGTCTATCAGCGAGGTGTGTACTTGTCCCGACATCTTATTGCATTTAGGAGTTTCCTTGTGACCAGGCCTTGAAAACAAGCCCAGTCATGATAAAAAAATGAATGGTGAAAAACATGGGGCAAACTATCTTCTGGGGGTGCAAGGGGTAAACTTTACAGAAAAACAAATACCAGAATTTATCACAATCCTGCACGCCAGGGGAATTGACGCAGCAAACTAGCATTCCAAGGTGCTGTTTCTGGACTTATGCCCATAGCAAGTTACTTAACCAATCTAGAAATTTTTTTCTAAAGGTGTCTAACAACAGTTGTGACCAACCACTCTGTGGATGGTCCGTGCAGCAGCGACCCGTATAATAGCAGCCCAGGAAGCACACACGGCTTTCGCCACTGTCTGCTACGTGGCGCAAGCTGGCACCCGAGTCGGTGGTGTATGCAGTCACGTGCATCCCCTCATTTCTCAGCGACGGCATATTTTTTGCTGCCCACTAATTTCATGTTTCCTTATTTAAAAACACAATGGGTTGACACATGAAATAGAAAATGAGAAACCTTGGGATTGCTCCGGGCATTTACTAATGTATCGCTATGCAGAGATTGCAATAAATGAAGAGTGATTTATCCTGTTTGTGCCACGACCCAGTATTCTCCCTCTAACCGAAGTGTGTGAAATGCTGGCATAGTCTTTTTTAAGTGGCAACGTTGCAGTTGAGCATTTCACCAATGTTTTACTACGCAAATTTGTAGTTCCTCACTCAACAGGATGGGCAATCTCTACCTATTCTCCTGCAGGGTATAGGGATAAACAGTCATTACAACCCCTGCAATGAGCCAGGCAATAAACCGTGAGACTTGGAAAGCATTTGTTTCTGAGCATATAAAATGTCTCGCTTAGTGTAGCAGAGCAGATAGCACTTTCAGGAAGAAGCGTTTCTGCTCCGTCGTTTCAATGATCCTTTACGAGGCAATGACCGCACACTCTAATGTTTCCAGACCCTTGCCCACAGATGTGGAATCAGCTTGCACGCGAACAAGAGCAACGAGCTCGCAGCTTTTCAAGGTCCTTCTACTGAAAGAGCACATGTGCGGGCGCTAGCTTGCACCTACACTTTTTGCAGATGGCATCGGAGAATAGAGTAGGCTTTTCACAAGTTTCTGACAACTAAGCTAGCCACTGTGTGACGAGCCTGGTGAGTATTGTCAGACAATCCAAATAAAAGTTTAAAACATGAGAGCTTGATTATTTGTCTCGCTTTGAAGCATTTCCTTTATTAGCTGCCAGGTGTCATGTTATTCGAGGCATATTTTTCAACATCGAATCCATTATACAAATAGAAAAAGGTGAGGACAGATCCTCGACAGAAAAACTCACCGGAACAATGAGGCCTTGCCACGTGAGGAGGTTGTTTTCATCTACTTGGATCTCGCGGAATGATTTTCCTCCAGCCTTCTTGATCTCTGTAAGTTCCTATTGTGACGGATCAGGAGAGACAATTAGTGTTCAATGACACTGGTGTCAACAGCAGCATGCAACAATGAGTCAGCAAATACTGTGCCCATTATCATAATAACTGAGCTCATTTGGTGGCATGAACTTAAGGAATAAAACTTGATGGATACTTTGGTGAAGTAAAATAGTAAAAGTGCCAATATTGTTTTTATGCTCACTGTGCTGTGCACTGCACAACCGAAGTGCTTTGGCACCAAGTTTTCATTATGGCAGCAAAGGACAAAACTCCAGAGAAGAGCTCTGGGATTATAGGCCCGAGGTTGAAGATAAAGATAAAGCTGACAACTCCGACTGCCGGAGTCGTCCGCTTATTTGGCCAGTTTAATCATGATCTTCTCTTCATGCCTTCTACAGTGGTCACGAATTTGTCCCACTTTTAGCAGTTGCACAGGGTATGGCACTATGAACTAGCCCTACGAGATGCAGCAGTAGCAGTAAAAATTCGACACGGGGCACCACCCTAGGCGCGATAAGACACCGGGAGCGAGATTAGAATGGACCTCCATAAATTGATGAAAGGGTGCTGCTGGCAAATTGAAAATTCGTGCATGCGGGGGATTGGTGGCAGAGCGTGTGGACGCACTGCAGCTCGGAGCACAAAGAGTGAATGCTCGCTTTGCAGAGCACAGGGATCATGGTTAAATTCCCACCCCTAGGGGCCCGTCTTGATCTGGACGAGCATCGTACCGGCATGCGGTTGTGTACCATTACCGCGCAATGCACATTAAAAAAAAAAAGAAACGAAACCCAGACTAGCAGTGGCACTGCAATGGCTAAATTTCTGATCCACAGCATAAACCAGTATCGCTGCAACTCAAAGGCAGAACGACTTTACACTGGACAAACATGAACGTCAAATTTGATTTTAGTAAGCCGTACGTACGCTGTAACCTTCATACATTAAATTTCTTGTTGGCACAGGGCTGGATTTATTACGGCTGACAACCAGAAGGCACAAGGGGGGTGCCTTCAAATCGTTCAAGGTAGCACCAAGTACTTCTATCCTGCACAACTCAAGACACGACAGATCACACCTCAGCATTTTCATAATGGGCAATGACATGGGTAATCAATTGCTTTCTTCAGTCACTGTTGTCAATAGCGAATAAAATGAGCATGTGAAAATGCGTTCCTGCAATGAAAGAGCGACACTACACAAGTTTCGGAATGGAAACAATGCCTCTTAGTGATACACACGACCACAATACATTTTCTTCTCAGGCATGCTGGAACACATCGTGAGCCCGAGCGAGTCTTCAACCGAACGGCAGAAATGTCATTGGTCTCAGTGATATCAACAGAAGGTTCATAGAAGTTGCGCAAAACTGTGAACCACAAGTCGTCAAACTTAGACTAGGACCTGGAGACGCGTTTCTCCTGTCTAGCGCGTAAATAACTTCACACGGCACTCGGGTTCAAACAGCCGGCTCAAGGGAGTCACAGGACTTTGGCCAAAGCCCTTCGCAAGAATCTATTTTCGGAACAACTTCATCGCGCAATTTCAAGTCAAAAAGGGCGATGGGATTTCCTATCAATGGACAAAGCTAGACTTAAGATTTTGACGAATTCCGCGTTCAACCGGATACCGCCCTTCAACGATAGTGGCCTTATCAGGAAGCTTGAAAGCGTAATAACAAAATCAATAAAAAAGAAAGAAAGAAAGAAGACATTTGGGCACGTATTTGATGGCGCGCAGGAAAGCACACCGATTTGCCTTCTGAAAGCTGTCATCGCCGACTGAAAATGCGTGGTTGCCGAAGTTTAGAAACCGAATTCAGCCGAAAACTCGCTCGTCGGACTGACGACGCTAATCGCCGTTGCTACACGGGCGCAAAATACTTCCTTTTGTAGGGGTAAAAAATAAAAAGGAAACAAGGTGGGACTTCATCCTGCGTCTGAAGGAATATTGATTGGTATTCTAACAAGATCAAAAATTACAAACATAGAAAAGACGTCACCCTGCTTAGCGTCCGACCTGACAAGGAAACTTCGGGAATGAAAACCGATCTGTGGCTCGACGCCCAAAAAGCTCGGTGGATGTTTTGATGGATGTCACTCCCAGCACAGCGCAGCTAGAACAGCCTATCACCCCTCATCCACCGAAAGTGTAGCGATGAAAGCGCATTTTCTCGCGTAGATACGCGGAATGGACAGTCGATAGCCACTATTTTCACGCGAACGGATTCGGGCACGATTAAGGAACTAAGCCTACTTTCAAACCGAGACGGCGGCACCGGTCGGCACCAGTTCCTCGCTGTCATAAATAAAGTGTGGCATATTCAAGACACGGTACGTGTGTATTAAAAACTGGAGAATTTGTTTTTACAATACGACTATTAGGGGTGACTTCTGCCAGAAATGACTCACTTTCTGCAGCCGCCTAGTCGCTGCCATTTTCGAAGAGAAGAATCCCGATACCAGCACCACCGCGCGATGCTTGCAAGAAGCGAATGTTGACGAAAAATATTTCGCGTGTTGTTGATGGCGATCGGCAGCGGCAAGACACGCGAGTTTCGAATTGAAATAAAAAACGACGCCATATTTACATTGCATTAAAAAAAATAAAAAAAATAGTTTCACTTAATAGCCAATTGTTCAATCTTGAACGAATTGGTTAAATCATCATTCAGAACGCAAGACGAACTGAGGGGGTACTTCATAGAGTTCTTATAATGTACGCTAGAGGTTCAACTGGCGCGTGTACTGTCTTGGTGCTGGCGCAAATTGAAGCAGACAGCAACCAGTTGAAAATTGAGGTCCGGTATGGTGCCTGGAGCGCGTCTTCGACTGGTGTGTTTAACGTCCTCTGCTGCCCATACATCAAAAGTGGCCCCGAAGTGGCAACAATTGACGTCACAGCAGTTGCGATCCTGGCGGTTGGTCATAGAAATGCTAATGAGAAGGCTGCGAGTAGCACAACAAAACGCGAGTCTCGCTGTCGTCACGGCGTCCCAGCTTTTTGCTGCTGAAGCTTCCGTGGGCTGCCACACTGGAAAGCGACCCGAAGGAGAACAGGTGTCTGCCACATACACCACCGCTGTTCGGACGCCGCCAGGATCGCGACCGGCGACAGCATGACACTTCTATGACGTCATGAGGCGGAAATCGAGGGACCACTTTTTTTAAGACGCGGTAAACACACCAGTCGGGGACGCGTTCAGGCAACACCACCTAGACAGAAGGCCTCCACACGCGTCATCATAGTCAGATCGATCGAGGCGAGAGATTGGGCACGAGTGCTGCGTCAGTGTTCGGCTGCGGCTCGTGGCCAATCAGCGCGTCGAAGGTCGGGCTCGGGTCCAATAGCCGACCGAGCGCGATCCGACTGTGATGACGTTTCATAGAAGAAGAGGAAACCATGCGGAGGCCTTCTGTTTAGGTGGTGTTGGTTCAGGGGGCATGGCCAGTGACGTCACGGATGTCAAAATAACAGCTTTTATTTTGGCGTCCTAGTTATTTTGACATCAACAACACGTTTCCTTTGGATGTTGCTGACTGCATTTTGAAATGTCGGTCGCCCGGCGTGTGTGTGGCCGGGTGCTCGGCGGTGTCCGCGCTGGTGCGTGTTGTCAACGTTGCCGCCTGTACTCAGACCGACACGCGGAGCGGCTCTGTTTACCAACACGGCCGGAAGGCCGCGCATGCGCGGTAGCTATGTGGGCAAAAGCAGCCCGGCACTCCGTGTTTTCGCCATTGCGCTCTATGGCGTGCGCTCGTTGTTGACGTTGTAATGACGCTTGTATCTTTATTTGTGCGTCGTATTTCCTCACAACGTATGTCGTATGCTATGCCCGACTATTTGAGCTCGTTCCCCGAGCCTGAACGGCAGCGGTATCGAAACGAACTGTGCGTAGACGGCGTGGACTACGAGGATCCGTACGCCGTATAAACAAGACTTGCTGGACTTCCGACGTAAAGTTGCTGCCACCGACGTCGATGGCTCACGTCGTCGTTTATTTAGTTTTTTCGCCAAGCCAGTTCACGGCCGACACGGTGCAGGCGTACACGTCTCTCGAGGTCTACGATTACTTCGAGTTGGTTTCCGCACTGCCGGCGGGATCAGCAGCCTGTGGGTCCGCGGAAGTGTGTGCATTCATTAATTGATTAAATACACACAGCGTCTTCAAGTCAAGGTATGATATTTTCCCTGCCCTCATGACCACAAGGCATGACAAGCAGTAACGCTTTGTCCGTTCTGCAGTCTTGGCGGTAACAGGTTACAAGTAACGGCGTTGTTGGTAACGCGTTACTTTTTTCAGTAACGTAGTAACCCACTCGTTACGTTTTCGACACAGTAACGGGTAACGTACTTGTGTTCCTATTTCAAGTAACGTAGTTACGTTACTCGTTACTACTTCCAAAGTATTAAAGAAATTACACTTAAATTTTTTACGTATTTTAGGCGTCAAGCCATGATTGGCTGTGCGTTTTTTCTCGTAAGTATTTAGGTGAAACCGTAAAAAGAGATAAAGTAATTATGTTCAGTTTCTGCATGAACATAATGTTTCTTGATATATTACCTGTATCGTCAAAACCGTAAAATGTGTTAAATCATAATTTAAAAAAAAAGTAACGCAGAATCAGAAGTAACGTGCGTTACTTTTCATCGGTAGCGGTAACGCGTTCCTTTTTTTTTTTAGGTAACGTAGCTCAGTAATGCGTACCTTTTATTTGCAAGTAACGAGTAACGTATAGCGTTACTTTTTTTCGGTAACGCCTACAACACTGCCGTTCTGTCGCCGTTCCCCTTCTGCTGGGTAGCACGGGCGTAGCGAGACTCGGACGAGCGCTTGGCCGGTGCTTTGTGCGCGAACACCATGGGAACAAAATCCGGGTGGTCTCGATCAGACAACGGTTTCCCTGCACATAAGCAAGCCTCGGGATGGAGATTGAAATGGAAGCCGCACTTGCCTTCAAGAAAGTGTTTGCCGCACAAAAGGTCGTTCGCGCGAGGCGACCATTCTTTTCAATCCACGGATATTATCCACCTTCTATGCCTTCACAGTCTGCCGGGAACTTGTGGAAACTCACACTGCTGCGTTTCTTGTACATTTTGGCGCAATTAACGGCAACACAGCTTCGCGGCATGCTGAAAGGCTATCACGCCCATGCGAAACGTGCGCGCTTTTGCCCACACCCCCCGGCTCCGGCGCGATCGCAGCGCCGCCGCAGCTCCGTGACGTCAAGCCCGCGTGTCGGTCTGTACTCGTCGCGTTCTCAGAACATCAAAATAAGCGTTCTCCATTTTCAAACTTCGCCCGGTGCCGTCTGTCACTCCTGTTGCAAATGAAGATTACGTGTACCGGAGGCGACGGAGCCCAGCCGAAGTAATTTTGTACGCATTTTTCTGGAGCTGTACTTGTGTGCAATACGACGGACTATCACCCCTGCATAGAATAGCTGCGAAGGCCGTGCAAGCGGCGAGCGAGTAGCCTTGACCGGCATGACTGCACCCGCTGCAGGAGCGCTCGTGCCGGGTGATCCAAAGCAACTAGCTCGCGCTTTTAGCACTGTCGTCGACAGCATTTTTTTTTTTTTTTTCAGTGTTAGTCGTAAAAAAAGAAATGTCGTAAATAACAGCAAATGCCCCAACAAAACAAAATGTTAAAAAAAAAAAAAAAAAGAAAAAGGAAGCCTCCACTGCGGATCGAACCCACACCGCTTGCGTATGAGCTATTTTAACCGCTAAGCCACGCTACAGCTTCGTAAATCGCGTTTTGACAATTTGTTTTATACGACACTTTCGGACGGCATTTAGCGCGGAGTACCGTCGGTGGAGTACCGTCGAACGGCACCTGAATGCTCTGCAAAAGTGCCTCCGGACGGTACTGTAGTCACTACGAATCTTCTTTTGCAACAGGAGTGACCGACGGCACCAGGCGAACGAAATTGGAAAACACTGTTTCTGGATACGCGACGAGCACAGGCGGCACGTCGACGCACACCAGTGAGTACACCGCCGAGCACCATCGAGCACCCGACCGCGCGCACACTCGCCGACCGACCGACGTTTCAAAATGTAGTCGACGGCATCCAAAATAAAACGTGTTTACATTAAAGAGCACCAAATAGGGGCGCGGCCAATGACGTCCGTGACGTCACTGGCCGCGCCCCCTGCACTTCAAATCGGTGCCGAAATTACTCACCCCGTTCCAGGCACCATAGTTCCGGTAATTCACGCTAGGGAAGGACGGGGCCCGCGGCCCGCTGTCGATTTCCGACAGCCGGCCCGGCCCGGCCCGACCCGACACTTTAACTTAGACGGGCCCGCTCCGGCCCGTTTCATTTTTGCCAGTATCAAGCTGAGTTTACGCAGAATGGCAGGCTAGCCTGCCACTACTGCGCATATTTATTACAGTGTACTTGAAAGTCAGCATCATTCTTTATTGTCGCACATATATTTACACTACGACTCAATGGGCAATAAATGTTTACAATAAGATATAAGCACACACACACAAAAAAAGCACACACACACACATGTAAAGCACTCCTTGACGTGCCCTCTGAATTCAGATAAATTATATTATAGAAAAAAAGACTAAACTCATTTTTGCGAGACGAAGTGTAATATTGAATGAATATGAATACGAGACGTCCAATTAAATGTATGCCAAGTCATGCAGTTACTGAGACAAATAAGTACACGTGACGTGAAGCCATCTAAAATGCATTGCGAAACTCCGTTGACGAGGAAAATTAGTCACTCTTAACGCGACAAACTAAATAACAATACAGGCATGCGCTCAACCAGTCGGCGGTGGAAGGGTCGGCGAGATCGGTACTCGGACACTTTCAAACAAAACAGGGCTTTAAAATAAAAATGTACTCATATGAAACAGACGCCCAATATTTTCCAAGACTCGGCTCCATATTAACACAGAGTACAGCGAGTGTTCTTAGAGGTTCTTGTGCAAAAATAGAAGATTATTTACCCTATCTGGCTTTAGACGGGTTCTCCTTTCCTGGATGAGATAGCCAGCAGCACTCAGGGTTGGCCAGAAATACTCAAAAATGTATTTGGAAATACATTTCGCGCGCCTCCCTTGGTGATTCGATTATTCAAGGGAGGCGCGTGAAATAACGTAGAACATTATCGACCTATTTCCATTCTGTCTTGCTTTGCTAAAATCCTGGAAAAACATATGTTGATAACTATAAATAGCCTTTTAGATAAATACAGTTTACTATCTCCTTATCAGTACGGATTCACACAAGGCCGAGGTACTCAAATGCTCCTTGAGGACTTTTCTGACATGCTCAATTTATCTTTTGAACGGAATCAAGTTGCCTGCGCACTGTTCCTTGATGTCCGCAAGGCATTTGACAGTGTTAACCATCACATTTTGATAACAAAGCTTTCAAAGTTCGGCTTTCGAGGTTCTTTTTTAAATTTACTGGAAAACTTTCTACAGGAAAGGCGTCAATGTGTTTCATTTGGAGGGTATCAAAGCGGATTCTTTT